CGTCCCCTCCCCTGGGGAAGGCTCGGCCCTTGAGGGAAGGGTCAAGGGCTGGGAGATCTTCCCAGTTGAGCCTCCGTGGCCCCTTGCTGGTGCACAAGGCCGAGTGGGCAATGCAGCTGGCGGCAGGGCAGGACTTACCGCCAGGCTTTGTGCCAGCATGCGTGGGGGGGCTGTGCTCCTGCTGTCCCTTCCCCAGCTCTAATGCCTGCTCTCCTCCCCAAAGGTGTTTTCAGAGCCAGGGGGCAGCTGCCCCAGGCTGGCACCCACCTCAGAGCTGTATGGTGTGTGCCTGGTGCAGACCAACCTCCTGGAGGCCATCGCGGACGAGGACTACTTCCTCCGCTGCGTGAGACAATGCGAGGAGAACTACGAGCACTACCTGGCCAGTGCTGGGAACCAGCTGCAGAATGGCCAGTGAGGGCAATGAGCCCTGACTGCTGCTGCCTCCAACTGGGTTCTCCCTTCTCCCCAGCCAGGGCGAGGCACGGGCCTCCATGGAGGTGCTCGTACTCCAGGAGCTCACCTGGCTGGCGTCCGCAGGACATGGATGCATTCCCTGAGCCCTGGCAGCAAGACGGGTGTTTCTCCATTGCCATTCGGCCTCCGGAAGGGCTGCTGGGGCGGGCCCTGCTGCAGGGTGTCCCTGGGCCATGCCTGGTGCCCGCCACTGATCTCGCACTGGGATTGTGAGCGCTTCTACAGGGACTCTCCTGTTACGTGTGCGCAGCGCCTGGCATGGAGGGGTGCGGGACTCTGGCTGCAGCGGCCATATCTGTAGTGCTAGTGTGGCTCTGCCACAGCCCTGGCATGGCTGTCTTGCTGTGAATCCCATTGCCTGGTGTGACCACGCTGCGCATGGCTGCCCTTGCTCCCTGCCTGTGCCCCTCCTGTGCATTCTTAAATGTGTTTTTATCTTGTGCGTGTCTGCCATGAGTTGGATCCTAGCACCTGGTGGGGGTAGGGATCCTGCTCCTTACAGTTGAGGTTGGGGCTGGGAGAGGGCAGCAGGGCACTGGCCTGGAGCCAGGAGCCTCATCCAGGCTCTTCTGCTGCCCCCTGGGCACCTGTAGGCAGGGTGCTTCCCAGCGTAATGGGTCCCTTAGGCAGAAGCTGCCTTGGAGGCAATTGTCAGGGCTGCAGACTGGCATGGAGCCCAGCCTGGGGGCCACAGCAGCAGGGACAGCCTCGCCCAGTGGATGCTGGGGCTGGCGCTGGGCTGAGGGGGTGG